ATATAATATTATATATTATGAATTTTTCCTTTAATAAAAATATGACAGAAAGACAATATAAAAAATTTCAAAGTTGCTTAAGGTTAAGAGTTTTGACTTGAATTTTCTTTTAAAGTTTTAAAGTTAAATAACATTGCAACCTCATTAGCAATATAATATTTTTTATTAAAGGAAAAATTCATAATATATTTTACAGAGAGGAAAGAGAAAAAGAAAATAAAATAGCATAATATTACGGAGACAATTTAACCAAATGAACTTACTCTAACGGACTTATGGATGTAATATTAGTTTCAATATAATCCATTTTCGTTGTAGTAAAAATATTTTTATATCATAACTTAAATTATTTACTATAAATAAAAATATATAATTTATATATTTAAAATGTTTAATTGTTATAAATTTTAATTATAATATTTTATATATTAAAATAATTGTTTGTTTATAAATTTAAATTCTATAAAAAAAAATTATCCTCTACATTAATACACTTCTTAAATACTTGTTTCCTTATAATTTGATGGAATCAAATTGAAAGACATGTCTCTTTGAAGCTGTTGTCGTCATTAGTAATAGAGACAAACTAGTTACCAAAGTCAGATGAAATAATGTAATTAAAAAAAACTATTAGATGGAAGGATGAAAAAAATAATGGTTAGGAACCTAAATAAGGACAAACTAAATTTTTCAACCCACACAGATTGGACGAAATTCAATTCCAAAATATACAACACACAACTTAAATGCATTATAATTATTAATATTATATATCCAACACAACAAGATGATTTCAGTTCACGACTGCACACAATCACAGATCAAAGGATCTAACACTATCACCAATCTCTCATGAATTAACTCATGCAGGGTTCTTGCTCAATTGATAATCTTAAGTGTAATAACATCAACACTACTATCAAAAAGAATTATTTCTCGGATTCAATGTTGTAAATGAAAATTATTTCTTATTTAGATACAGTATTTTTCCTTATCACCCGTAGAGATAGAATCTCCAACACATTCCTTTCCAAGACAATTCAAATGTAAAGTTTAGGATTTATAGAACTAAATATGTACGTGTAATCTGATAAACTTAACAACAATCAATAATTGTTATGATAGAATCCAATAATATCATAGACTTAACTCAACCTAGAATGGTGTAAGGAGAGAACAGCTCGATGTTTATATACACTATATATTTTAGCATGATGACATATGCAGTTCAGACAGAAGCATAAAGTCTTGGAACAAAAGAAAACCAGTTGAAACCACAGCTACCTTTGAGAGGCAAATAGGGGCACTTGGGAAGCCAATCCCAACTCATCCTCAAAACACTGTAACACAACATCTCGGGCCACATATAGCAGCAGACACATACCATTCCCTCGTGCCAAAAGCAATAAACATGGTCATAGTTATGGTAACAAACCGACACAAATTTTCTGCACACAATCTCAGGCAACCTCGCCACTTCCACCCAAACACCCCTTTCACCCATCATCTCCCACAACGTGATGCTCCTCGAGATTCCATCGTTCCCAACCCCACCAAGCAAGTACAACTTCCCTTGATCTCCATCACTCACCAGCCTCACGAAAGTGAGTTGGTGGCGGTGGGGTAACTCAGCAACGTGCCTCTCCCACTTCCCTCTCTCCAAATCCAAACGCACCACCGAAAACGGTTCCGGGGTCGTAAAGTACAAGCCCCCATCAAAGAAAGCACCCTGCTGGTGGTAACTGTAGCTCAGAATAGCATTGAAACCCTGAAAACATCGCCACGAAAGCTCGTTAGAATCGTAGACAAAGACAGTGTTGTTGGAAGAAAGAAGCACTATGTTGTAGCCAAGAGGGGTGGTAAAGAAACTGAAATGGGCCAAGCGTGTTGGTGATTCTATTTTTCTGTAGGACTTGACAAAGAGGTTGGAAACAAGAAAGGAAGAAGAGGAGGGGTCGTAGAGACAAAAGAGGCCACCGGAGGAGGAGACAAGAGTGAAGGAAGAGGAGAAGGGAAGAGAGCGAGAGAGGGAGAGAAAGAAGGAGCGCCAAGCGCAGAGTTTGGAATCGTAGAGAAGAAAGTGGTGGGGGCAGTGAGGGTGGGAGAGTAGGAGAAAGGAAGAGAAGGGTGAGGAAGAAGAAGAGTGTTTGGAGATGAATGAGGGAGAGAAGAGAAGAGAGGTGAAGGCCTTGCAAGTGGGTCTCAGATTCAAGAGTGTCTTCAGAGGGAGTAACAGCAGAATGTGTTCCACAACATCACGAGGTAGTTTGCTCCAGATTCTCGGGTCCATTGAAGTTTCCGAATGTGTCTTTCGTTTGTTTCGTTTTATGTAGTAATAAAGTGGAGCAGGTTGTTGCTTGTTACTAATTTTAATTATGTTGTCACCTCGTACGTCATTAAAGTGTGTATTATTGTAGTAATTGAAGTCTAACAATTTATTTGAAAACTAATTTTTTTATTGGAAAAAAATGTGTTTTTGAATAAAGAAACTTGCATGTGGCACGACTGGAGACATTTTAAGGATTCGAGGACATCTGTTAAGTGTAGACTGTAGAGAGTGTAGACATCCAGTGAAAGATAAGAGAGAGAATTAATTATGATTAATGATGTCATGTGAAAAGAGGAGCATGGTGACTCTTGAAAAGTATGCAACTACTCTGCTACTCGTGCTTAGTGTGGTAACGAAGAATTGGAGGAGAAGAAAAGAGAAAATGGTGGAACTTGGAAGTATAGAGAAATAGAAAATTGATTAAAATGAGAGAATTGTGTAGACATAGGAGTGGGCCTCGCAGACTTTGTTTACGATTCCGCCTATTTTTAATATCAAGTGGCGTGAATTTAATGGGGGAGTGTTCAGTGTTCATTATAAAAAATTCGATGACGCAGATGAAATTTGATTTGATTATTTGCAATTGATTTTGAGATTGAAAATTTAATTATTTTATCATTATCCTTTTATGAAAAGATTATTTTAAGAGAAAAAAAAAACTCTTTGAAAGTGACCCATGATAGGGATCCACAACACAAGTAAAAGCCGAAATAGCATTACCCACTTTTCTTATGAAAATAAAAGACTCGGTGTAGCTGTCCGTACCCGTTTCAAATTTGCTATTCTATAATATCTAAGATAAAATATGGAAGAGTGTGTTTCGATTGGAAATTTAAATATGATAGTTTATTTTTTTTAAAAGATTTTAAATATTTTAGAATAAAATTTTTATTTAGATGTAAACTTTAATTTGAAATTTAAGTATTTAAGAATTTTTTAAATAGTAAAATTATAAACTTTCAAAAAGTAAAAATTAATTTTTTTTTAATTTTTTTCTTATCTCTCTATATATCTTTTATATTTCTCTCTTATGTCTTATATTTTCTTTTGACTTTTTTTTCTCTCCCTTCTCTCCTCTCTTTCTTTTTCTTTTTTTTCTCTTTCTATTTCTTTTTTTTTCTTCTCTCTAATTTTTATCTCTTTTCTTTCTCCTATCTATCCTCTCTTTCTCACCTAATTCTCTTTTCTCTTTATCTTTTCCTCTATCTATTTTTTTTTTCTCCTTTTTTTTTCTTTTTGTTTTTTTTCCTACCTCTCTACCTCTATTTCAAAATGACATAAAATTATTAATGATTTATTTAATTATTAAATATTTAAAAATATTTATTAAATTATTGAATATTATCTACTATTAATCTTTAAAATTAAGTATTTTAAAATGGACTAATATATTCAAAATCAATTTTTGAGAACCTTCTCGTATTCCTCTATCTATTTTTTTTTTCTCCTTTTTTTTTCTTTTTGTTTTTTTTCCTACCTCTCTACCTCTATTTCAAAATGACATAAAATTATTAATGATTTATTTAATTATTAAATATTTAACAATATTTATTAAATTATTGAATATTATCTACTATTAATTTTTAAAATTAAGTATTTTAAAATGGACTAATATATTCAAAATCAATTTTATCATATAAAAAATCAAATTACCATATTCAAATCAAGAAATTAAATACAAATAATTAATATATTAAATTTAAGATAGTGTCTAAATTCAATCCTAAACAATCCATAATCAGATTTAACTTCCTTTCTGACCGAACCAGATTAATCTAAAATAAAACTTTAAAACAACGTTGCAAAAAAATTTAAAATTTAAAAAAAAATGAATTAATTTATTTAAATAAAATATTCAAAGAATGACTTTAATTAAAATCAAAGAAATTCAAATTTTAAAAATTTTAAATTACTTGAACTTCTAAAATTTCTCACTATTTCTCACTCATGCAAACTATAAAAGAATTGAATGTTCATAGTTGGAAAGTAAATTAGCAACTTGTAATAACTACTACTATCGTGGGGTAACCGAATACATTGTTTTCATGTTGAAGTTTAAAATGAAATTGTGCACTGCCAGATGAAACATTAGATACTTATTGTATTTGTAAGCTATACTAAGTGTGTAAGTTATTCATATTCCCTACTTGAAAGGAAATGTAGGCTAAAAATACACCCAAATCCTAAACAAAATTCGATTCCGGGATGGAGTTAAATCAACCTTTACAGACATTATCCTATTCTTTATATTGTAGAGGATGGTGGTATCAATAATGCCACTGTGTATAAGCTATGTAGCACTATATCTATGCACCTCATTGAACTTTAACCCTACAAAAGCCAAATGGTTACCGAGCAGGTGCAGAAGTATGGCATCTTCATTATCTTGGCAAGAACATGGAATGATTCTCGAATGCACTTAAAAACCACTCACTCCAGAGAAATGCTTCTTCATGGCTCGGTCCTTCTGGTGATGATTGTTTCTTCCTCCTCCTCTCCCCCTCCCCCTTCCTCTTCCTCTCCCCCTTTGATTATTTCCATCCACCTCGGTATCATCAGATTGTTTCTCCTGCTGCTGATGAGATACAACTTGTTTTCCCCATTCTCTCCTTCCCCTGCCTCCAGCATTTCCTGGAATCCCTCTCCCTTCCATTTCAGAAACCTGGAATTGGTTATCATCCTCCTTGTAGGAATCTGTCAACTTCTTTACTGCACCAAGAGGAAGGTTGCCGCCACGTCCAAGGCCATGTATTAATTCTTTCTGAGCTTCGTTTACTAGCGAAGCTTCATCGGAGTTTGCCACTGCTACTGCACCAGCCACTTTGTAGCTGTAATTCTTACCATCCTTGACATAGTACTGCGGCTTTTTCCTAGAGCCCCATTTTGAATCAGGAGCATTTTTGACTGAATTTCCAGTCTCTGTTGCCCATGATTTCCCTGACTTGGCGTTTATTGTGTCACCTAGTATCTCGTTTTCTTCTACCCCAGAGTCTGCTACACTTAGACCCAAATCATCAAAAGAGTCATCATACTCATCTTCATATTCATATTGTAAAAGCATAGCAGCAGTTTTTGATGCATCTTTCTCATCCTTATTATCCAGAATACTGACATCAGGACGATCAGCTTTAGATTTCCTAACAAATTTTCCTAGTGAAGCAGAGGATGACATCAAAGGCACTTCTGTCTTTTGCTTCCCCCTAACAACTTCTGGATTTGAGGATGCTGACATAGAATCAATTAATTTACCTTTTCCTTTATCATTCCCACCCACAGTGGTAGACTTGGCCAGTGGCAATGTCTCTAGCGAGGTGTCCAGCTTCTGCAGATCCTCATGAAGGGTACCCTCTAAAATTCTTTGAATAACCTCTTCTGGATTCTGGTCATAGACCTCAAGACACGCAGCTAAAAACCCTCTACCATAATCAGGGAACAGGTCCCTAATTTGACTGATGTTTGACTCTGTAATTGCAGCATCTTCATCCGTCAGCAATGTTTGGTTTGGCACAGAACTTGCTGCAGAATATGGCTGTTTATAGATCTCCTTCACAGAACTCAACATCCCAGATATATATTGAAGCTGTTCATCATCAATGAAAATCCATCCTGTATCAGAGCAACTATATTAGAAGAAAATGAGCAAGCATATGGTACAGTACAAACCATGAACTGATGGGAAAATTGAAATTTAAAACATAATTTTGAAGGATCAGAGTGATCAAATTCAACCTTATATCTTAAAGGAAAAATATGTTTACCCCAACAAAAACTTAGCAGGATCAAGCTTTTTGCCATAAACCATACTAAGCCAGGCAATTTAAGCCACAAACATGCAAGAGAATTGCACTACTATAGAAATAAGATCATTACCACTATCCTTTAGTCTATCAACCCTGCTTAGTATATTGAAATTTCTTTCAACATCTTGAAGAAATGTTTCCTTCTGATGCATTTCCTGAAATTGTAAAGATACTGAATTGATCTCTCTAAATGTTTGAACCAGAATATCTGCTCTGATGAATGGGTCCTCTACATTGGCAGGAAACATCTTTGTGGCAGCTGGAAGAGGGATGCTATCTCTGAACACTTCATCGCTTAGATAGCACAAGTGCAATAGTTGCCAACCAAACTTTATTAATCTCATTCTTAACATCTTTAAACTTATTAAGATATTAGATACTGTGCCATCTTGTTTGTCAGCAAAAATCATACGGAATCCCTTTTGCAATGATGGAATTAGCGAATCATGCAATCTGGCAAGGAGGCTAAGCAATTCCTCATTCCCATAACTACAAAGTTATAAAAAAACAGAGAAAACATAAGTCTTGTAGGAAAAATTTTAATTGGAAATCTTAACCATTGATTCTGTTGCTGTCAAAAAAAACATTGATAGTGTTTTCATAAATTAATCAACACAAATATTAACGTGTGATACACCAAATGTAATGTTTGATAAGTCATATTTCCCATGGAAATTTATTGCATTCAGCCTTTACTTGTGATATATATAAAAAATAAAAAGTTTCAGTGAAAAATGATACCTCATTTCAACCGGGCAAGAGAAGAACACAGCTGACGGTTCATATGCACTAACAAAAGAATCCATTGAAACAATTGCATCATTTATAAAGTCCATCACCTATCACAAAAACAGATTTGGCCGGGCCAATCCATTGAAACAATTGCATATAAAATGTGGCTCAACATTTTTTTATGCAAATAAACCAAATGCTACATGCTTTAAAAAAAAAAAAAAATTGGCCGGGCCAATACACAATTCCCTGGCATTCATTTGCCACAGAAAAATAGTACTTCAATAGTCCTTTAATTATGGGCAGTAATTATTGAGGGTGCAGAAATAAGATTTTATATGTGAGATGGAGTTAAATATTATTTATAATTGTTTCGCTGCCAATGCCATGTATTCAAAACTTTCTGTAGCTGTTGTATAATATGAAGGGTGGGCTGGACTGGAACTCTGGATTATGCCAGAGACAGTCCTCTGGGATTGGCTATAGTTCCGAGTACCAGTAACTCCGCATTTACAACAAGGTAAAACAAATGGCAGAGAGCCTGAGACTAGTACCACCCATATAATGGGGAGTATCTGGTTGGAAAAGATTGAGTGGTCATTCCAGAAACTAGATGGAAGCTCAACAAAAAATGCTGAAGAGCACATGGGATGATCGTTCTCTCTGGTATTCCTGCAAGGTAGGTTTAAATATCACTCATAGAAGTTCTACTGTTTCTAGTCCACTTACAGTTGCACTTGTATGCTGCCATTCTGTATTTTTATTTTCCATCTTGGCTCTTTTCCAATAAATGGATCATTCGAAACGGGGAATATAAACTCACTCGACTTAGTGGAACTAAGCCAACCACTTAGACTGTATCAAGATACAAAGATACCGAATTTGAATCTTCTCATATATATAATGGTTTACAACTCAATTTCAAAGAAGGAAAAATAAATTGACTCACCTCCAGCAGATCAGCTTGAAGAAAAGAAGCATTGTGGTGATCAAGATTTCCAGAAGAAAATAAGACCTGTAAATAATCCCCCAAAAGAAAGTTTTCAATTTTATAGTAATTTTTTCCCTTTATACTATAATCTACATGATATAATAAAAAAAAATAATATATATTACATTATTAACAACATAATTAAATAAATTTGTAATACAAAAAAAATCAAATTATCACTATTTTTCACATTTCCATTACACTTAAACGTTTTAAATTCTTTGTTCGTGCAAAATTAAAAAAACGAAAATAAGAACTCTAGTAGCCACATCTTTGTCTGATCTTTTCCCTTTATCTTCATGATTGATTATTTTGAATACTTCAAATGGGATATAGGAATTATTTAGAAAATTTTTCCTGATAAAATTATCTTCTTTCGTTGCAGCATGTATGTGAGTGTACCATTAGTGTACATGAGTAAGCATGAGTTGTCCCTCAGTTAGTTTTTTATCTTTTTATTTTAAATTTTAAAATTTGATAATAATAGAGTAAACTATTTTTTTTATCATACAAATTAAAAAAATACTTGCCTGTGTATTTTAAAAATAATTGTTGGCTTATTTAAAATTAAATTTATTAACCTATTTAACATTATTAATGTAAAATAGGTTAATAGGTCAGACTAGACTTTTAAAAAAACCAGACCAAACTTATAAATAAAAAAAAGACTATAATAGATAATAGGCCAAACTTAGAATTTAATTTTATAAAACAAGGCTAACCTGTATATTCAAGTCTAGCCTAACCTATTCCTATCCTTAGTCAAAAACAAACAAAAATGCAAAATTAATTTCTATTCCATTACTGAAAAAAAAAATAGCACTTAAAATGAAATATTGACAAATGTCCGTCGAGTGACTTTCATAAGTCATGTGGAACAAAACAGTTTGTTGGACATCAAAACTAAACTTATCAATTTAACAAATAATATGATTCATTATGTAATATATATCTGTGATAACAAGAATAAACTAAACTAATATTTTCAAATAACATAACTAGTTAACCCAGAGACACTAAAAATTAAATGCATTAAAAAAATAATTAAAATTATGGATACATCACAGTTACACTTAGTCAAATTACAAGACTACCTCTAATGATGAACTGCAACGTTCATGCATTGTGCTGACAATTCCTAGAAAATGGGAAATTACTGCAGTCAGATTATTATGGATCTGAGGCTGAGCACTCAAAGCATTTCTAACCTGAGACACAGAGAGAGAGAAGTAAGCAAAGTCAAGTTAAATGCACAAAAGGAAGCACGGAAATCCCAGCACAAATTTTACATAGAGCAACTGCTTAGATATAGTTATATAAAAATAAAATGTGTACATCTGTAATGTGTAATGCACACAAAGTTACCAAGTTGGATTAACAAGTTGCTATTATCTACCATGCCTATATATATATATACCTAAAATTGAACAAATATTCATAATAAGTTACAATCAAAAGGAAACACAACAGTGGTGGTTGAGTAGCAGAACAGGCAGTGAAAAACAAAAAAGAATAAGGCCTTGAATCTGCAATAGGGGGGGTGTGAACAGCAAGTGAGCAGTGGACTGGATAAAGAGAAATGAGAATATGGTTGAGTTTGAGTTACAGGGGAACAAGGTATTGGAAAATGAAAAAAAAAATGGCTGCTGGGTAAGTGGGCTCAAGCTCATGAGCATGGATGAGTTAGAGGCTTGTGGTTTGGTCATCGTCATGTTTGTTCTTATGGCCGAAACAGAGCAAGTCTCATTATGAAATCCCAAAAGTACCCCCAAAAAATTGGGTTCAACCTCACAAAACAAGGGTAAGGGGGTTTTCCTTGGTTAACCATAGCAACTGAAATGGCTGTGAATTTCTGGCATAATGACTGCTATTTTGCAGCTGCAACTCTCGTTGCATGAAAATGGACGACCAAGACCATTCTAAAATAGTGGGTGGCCACTTTGCACTGCTCCACCACTATAGCATGCTATTGATGGGATGAGAAAAATTAACATAAAAGGGGTTATCTAATTTGAACATGGAAAATTGTCAAGGAAAAGCCTTCACTTCCAAGGAAGTGCAAGCTACATTATTGAAACTACTGATGCCTAAAAAGCAATATAAATGTGTTTCCTAAAACACTGCAATTAAGGGATACTAAATAATCTACCATTAATTATAAATTCTTACCAGTGACCTTGTCAATTCTTCATTTTCATGATAGTATATGGCACATATATCTAACAACTTTGGCAAGTCAAGCAACTTCTTCTCCTGCAAAAGAACTACAGGCAAAATTAGTGAACAACGGTGAATCATGATAAAAAAAATTACAAAATATGATGTAATTACCCAACCAAAAACAGCAATGGAAATAATTTTCCCAAACAATACATCAATAGATGTGCGATGTTTTATTATTTCTCCAATAAGTGCATACACAGCTGATAAAGTAAGCAACACGCCCAGATGTTTCTTACGAATCAATGGCCACCTTTGCATGTGACTGACCTGTTTTATCAACTACAATCCAATTATATGGCCATTTGCGTCCATACGGCAAAAGACACACATCAAACCATTCGCTATGCATTGTAACTTTCACATTAACACAAGTCTTGACACAATTACAGACACTCTCTAATTCTTATATACACATAAAATTTATGGAAAATGTTCAAAAACATTGATCTAATGCGAGTCCAATCTCTACCTATGCCAAGACAGAAGCCCACATGAATGTAAAGTATGAGTTGTGTATGCAAGTAATAAAGTAATAACAAGAACGTAGTAGTCTCAGGCATAAATGTATTCCATTGTCCACAACCTAAACAAGGATAAGTGAGGTCCCACCTCCATGGTCTCTCAAACTGAGGGAATCCGCAGGTCGAGCGCCAGGGTCTTTATTCGAAGAACTGCAAAACACACACATCAAAAATCACAGTGCATTGAACAAAACAGAGTCCAAACTCTGAACCAGAGTAGCATTCCATCTCGTGAGAAACTTACATGCGAAACAATACCATGAAAACTCGGCGACTCAAATCAAGCTCTCCAACAATAACACCGGCAACAATCCCTCTCACCCCGCGATGAGGGAAATCATACCACCTGCTCCTGAATTGCAAAAAACTGTCCAAAAACTCATGCAGGGAGGTATCAGTAGCCACTGCAACACAATAATAAACAAAATAAGCGGTGAACAAACAAGCATTTCTAAGTAACAGTAAATTATTGTGGCATGGATTTGATTGAAGTACCTTGTCTCCAGAAATCCTTGGGTTTCAACTTGAGCAAGCGTGACAAGTGTGAGTTGAGAAGATCCACGACTCTCTGAGATTCAAGTGGATCCAATGCTCCGTCCTCGGCGCCGAGACCCGCCGCGACGGCCTCGTCGTGTGGTAAGTAATTGACGAAATTACCATTGTGGGCTCTGTTTAGGGCTTTGGACGGTTGTCTGAGGGAGGTTGAGAGGGTGGGATTGGGATTTTTGGGGACGAATTTCTTTTGGCTATTGTTGAAACCCTTGTCGTCGTTGTTGTTGTTGTTGTTGTTGTTGTTGTTTTTGTTTTTGTCTTGCCTACCTTGACCGGATCGATTCGACATTCTTATCGGAAACGATCGACCAAAGTGGCGTCAGCAGCTGGAGAGTTGCAAGTTAGCGGCAGGGTCTTTCAACTCCTCGATGGAAATACAAAACGCGCTCACTCTGGCTTCCAAGGCTGTTCGCTAATCATTCATGGACAAATTAAAATCTTATATGCAATTCTTTTTCTCTCATTATACTTGTGTTCTAAAATACAAACATAGGAAGCCCTAATCAGAGCATAAAAATGATAGTAAGTAATATTCTAATTATGTCTCACTAGTCCATCTCCATATCCTTTATTCTTGGTTCTCGATGATTCATATAGGTTATATGTTTTGGTATATTTATCTTATTATTGTTATTATTATTGATGTGGAAAGATTTGTTTATTTTAAAAATAAGTTTAATTAAATTTTATTTTATATAATAATATATGTTTTATATTAAATATTAATAATTTAATTATTAACTTAAAATTTTAATATATAAATCAAATCTACAAATTTTTTATAAAAAAAAATTTATTTGATATTTTTTTTAATTAATTCAAATTAACGTACAAAATATTTTTTTTATGATTATCTATCAATTTAAATTAATAAAATAAAGTATCAAATAATTTTTAAATTATTTTTAAATTTATACTTAATTTATATATTAAAAAATTTAAATTTAAGTTTAAATTTTATATAAAATATAAGTTATTGAATTAATTAGATTTACACTTGACGAAACTTTCTTTATTATTATTAGAGACCTCTTTTATTATACTATATAAATTATGAATTAGTATTTATGTTTTATCTTTAATTTTATTATAAAGTAATTATAGTTATGATAACAAAATAAGTTAAGAGACATAGATTTGTTATTCAGTATTTAACCAAACTTAAATTCATCAATTTATGATTAATTGAAATAATTATGATCAATTTGAACTTAAAAGATTTCACAATTCTCTAACCTTAAGTGGGTAAGCATAAAAAAATTTAAGGTATAATTGTTATAAATCAACTTGCTATTTTTTTGTTAACTATTTTAATATTGGGAGAAGCTCCACAACTGTCTAGTCCCAAGTGTATGTAAATATGAAGAATCATTTAAGTATGAATGTTATAAATTGGTCGATTATTTACCAGCTGATTTTAAGCCTAAGAAGGTCTAAATTGCAACAATTTACCTTCACATATTATGAATGATTCAACTGAACAAGGAGCAATACTTATAAAATTCACACTATTGGAATGGTTCTTAAATAAGGATCAAATACTCGTAAAAGGATAACTTATAGCAAATTATGTAGATACGTGTGTTCATGTAAATAAAATTTTTATGATAAAGAAAATAAAAACTAACTAATTATTTACCAATGGATCGATAATAATGCCAACAAAATTTTATTTTAAAAATTTAAATAAATCAATGAATGATCTTTAGTATTGGGACCAATTTAGTAATTTTTTTTGTTGAGTTTCTAAATTAGGGAATGAGATGCCTATGAGGTTACTGAATTAAAAGAGATTAAAAAAAAAAAGTGTGTATAGTGAAACTATCTCAATAAGAAATATAGAGTTGTAGATGCTCTAAGTGAGTTTAATTGGATTTGGATCCTCTCCTTGAAGAGTGTTTGTAGCTTCTCTGCAACACCGTTGAATAAATATGAATGATCGAGATTAAATCTTATAAAAAACACTAAAAAATGTTAATCGTTGGATTCGAAATAGAAAAGGTTAATTTAGCCCATGAGCTTCTTATCCTGCATCGTTCTTGTAGTACCAGTTTTATTGAATCCACCTTTGTCATTTCACTTCAAAGTCACCAACTCAAACTTGCACCAAGACCATGTTTGCAAACAAAAGGCGAGAGTTTCTCTGTTTCAAAGATATGGCTTTAAGTTATGTTGGTGGCCTTTTGAAGTGCTGAGGGTGTAAGCGAATTTGAAGAGTGAAGACATTAACACAGTTAGGATAATATTTACAATGTTTTTTTTTTAAATGTATGATGTATATGATGTCTAAGTAATTTGTTAGTTTTTTTCTAATTAAAATTAGAATTTTATTTCGATTAGTGATATTAATTATTAATACAAATATTCATTATATAAGTTGTCAAAATAAAACATTGCTTCTAAATACAAAATAATGTCTGAAGTGTCTACAAATTTGTCTTTAAGTTTTTATCAAAAGGGGACAAGAGGATTTTATTTTTCTAATGATCAATATATAAGTTAAATATTTGAAGATTTTTTTATTACCCATAATAATCATGTCTAATCCAAGTGTGACTGTATTCAATGAACAACTTTACTTAATTTTATTATACTAGGGGGATAAGAAAGATAATTCACCTATTTTTCTTTAGGTTGTGTTTAGATGTAAATTTTTAAATTAAAGAAAATTTTAATTTTTTTTTTTTTTGTTTTCTAACTGTTTTGTATTCGTAAATCAATTTTTTAACCGCATATTTAGGTAAATCAATTCAAATTTTAAATTATTATTTTTGAAAAGACAATTTAGTTTTACTAAAAGCAAAAAAAAAATATTTTTTAAATGTATAATTTAAATTTTAATATTAAACAATAAACAATGTAGAAAACAACCATTAACAAAATCCTAAATATTTATAATTCAAAATAATATTTAATGATTTAAAATACAAAAATTCACAAAAAATACGTCAATATCAGAATATTTCAAAGGGTAAAGTTATGTTTCAAAGGGCAGTAGTTGGGTCGAACATTACAAGTTGGAAAATGGACTGCACATTGGTGGGCCGTGTATGAAATATACACCTGTTTTCTATAAGTACACCTCCTTTTTTAAAAAATATAATTAAAATTTTAAAATATTCTTAAATTTTTATTTTTCATTTTTTAATTTTACATTCACAACATTTAATTTAGTTTTTTTTTTTTCACATATCTTCCCTCCTTTTCCAATTTTTATATACATCCCTTTATCTTTCTTTCATCTCACTTATTTTGGTAACATATAAAAATTTAAAAAAAAAAAAAGTGTGAAAAAAAAAGTAACAAATTAAAAATTAGAGATGTAAAATTAAAAAATTTTAAAAATTATAATATTTTATAACTTTAAAAAAAAAAATAAAAGAATTGTACTTATAAAAAAAGGAGGTATATATATCATGAACCATGGCTTTATAGTAGTTGTTTTGCCATGAAGAATAAGAATATATAGTTTGCATAACGTAAATGACATATATAAGATAAAACTACATGTTTCTCGTCAAAGGGATATATATATATATATATATATTCAATACTATTTTTATTTATAAAAAAAAGTTTACTTTAAAAAAATATATATTAGTCTTTAATAAATTTATTTCGAAGTAACTTCTTAATAATAAATAACTGTAAATATGTTTTCGAATAACATTCTCATTTATTTCAATTTTAGTATCAGACTAATTTTAAACACCTTTTGGCTTTTAGTCATTTAAGGGGTAAAATAAAATTTTTAAGCATCCCCATTGTTGACTTCAAAATTATCTAAAATATTTATTTCATCTTCTAAGTAATAATTTATAAATGTTTAAAATTAACAGTCAATCATGATAAGAACCGCAATAATATTTTTTTTTAAATGCTTATTACACTCGAACATAATTTATATTTACGTCTTGAGAGAAAATAATGAATATTTTAAAATAAGATAATAAATTGTAATTTAAACATCTCTAAAAGAAGAATAACATTTTACTATTAAAAAAAATATAATAAAATCTCAAATGAAATAGATCAATGCAATTTAAAAAAAAAGGAAATATAAAAAGTGAAGGATATGTGAATGTGAGCATATATTGAATAAAATAAAGTTATACATCTACCAAAAAGTAAGGGCTGAAATTTGAACATAACTTAGGTGTGACTATGCTCATTACAAGTCATTTAAGTAAACCTAAACTTGATTATCCGCTGCCAAATGGCAAATACCAATGGCAAGCATGTCCTTTATTATAGTCATCATTCCCTCATTCCACGGAACCAAAATAAGGTAATGTTACATAGAGCTCCTCCACCTGAGCTCTCTACTGGTTCTGTACTATAATTATAAATTACGAGCTTTATAAACGGGACACTCGAATAATAATATTAATAATTCAGAACTGAGTGAATAAACAACTTGTCTCCCAGGAAAATGATCAGGCCATCCCTTTAACCAAGACAAATAGCGGCTTGTCTCCCAGCCTATCACGCCCCTGAAACAAGTCACAAGAAAGAATAGTTTATAGCGATGAATTTTCAGTGCCAACTCTAAAGAATTTCGTATTCAAAATAAGCCCTATTTAGATAAGTTTCTCAATAAACACTCATGAAAAGAAAACAAAATAAGTTTAATTTATTTATTAAAATCAACTTGTGCATAAGCTTTAATTTGTAGAAGCTTTAAGCTTTTCCAAAGTTGATTTTAATTTATTTATAAGCAAATTTTAGCTTACGAGAAACCTAATTCATTTTTCTTCTTTTTTTCATTTTAAGACCCCAATTATAATTTATAAGCGTATTTATTTCAGCACGGTCCAGACTTACGTTTGTTAAGAATCACAAGTGCCTGCGACACTTCAAGACCAGAAGCTCTAACAAACTATGTAGACTATATAATAAGTAAAGAGGAATTCATTCAAGTGGTGACTTAACTTTCTCCGAGTCTCCTCCAGAAAGATTTGCACTTGTATTATTTTTAAATCAAACGTGTTAGACCAAGATAGGACTACAGATAACCTACAAAGTCCATATAATTTATGTGTTTATCGCCTCTTTTCACCCCAGAAATTCAAAGAATGCAAGGGATAAATAAGACATTCAAGGGTGTATGCATATCGTCAGGATTCAAATGCAGGGGACAAATAAGGCATTAGAGTCCCACATTGTAAGTATGAAATTCTAGTGTAGGACCTTATAAGGGTTTGGGCTCTTCACCTCTAGCATTTGTGACATGGTTATCTCAAGATTGTTATCAATTCTAGACAAGTGGGTGATGGGGCTGCGAAGAGTGATTAGATGCTAGGATCAAATTGCAATGTATGGGAGAAGTTATAAGGCTTTGTTCCAACAATAGTGACTAGCTTTTGTGGTGTGGCTTTCCCAGGGTTCTTATCACACATGAGACAATGGCCCTTGTACCAATTGGACATTAAGAATACCTTCTTGCATGGTGATTTTGAGGAGGAAATCTATCTTAATAGGATTTAAAACAAATACTTCAAGGTTGGTTTGGAAAATTTAGCAGTCGTCCAATAATTTTTGGCATGGTTAAATGAGAAATAGATCACTCTGTGTTCTTTATATGGACACCATTGAATAAGCTGATTTATCTTGTGACGTAGATGATATTGTGGTTATAAGTGATGATCAAAACAACAATACGGAGATGAACAAACATTTGTTCAGTTCAGATATTTTCAGGCAAAGGTCTTGGTAGATTGTGATACTTCTTTAGAATTGAAGTAGCTCAAGCAATGATAGGAATTCTTTCTCAAATGAAATATACTCTTGATATTTTGGAAGAAGAGAAATATTAGCAACGTACTGAACACTCTTCTATTGGTTCAATTTATTGAAATTTGAAAATCACAAATTTTTTTGGATTAGACATCTTATTCAATGAATTTATCTCTTGATTTTGTGATTTTCAATAAATTTTAACTAATGTGATTGGGAGTGTATGTTTAAAAGTGTGTTGTAACACCCCTTTTTGGAAGAAAGAGGGATGCTGGAGTGTAAGCTTCCGTGGTCACGGGAAGTCCTATCCTAACCTAGGCAGATCTAGCTTAGTTGGAAAGTTAAATTATCTTAAAATGACAATGACTATAATAGACATTTATTTTCTTGTTAATGTTGTCAGTCAGTTTATCAACACACCATGTGATAGCCAGTGGAATGCAGTTGTTCGGTGCATCAATTACTTTGCAGACAATGCCTATGCAAGAATTTTCTTAGCCTAATGTCTCTCAAAACAACTTTCAAATATGTAACGCAACTGCTATAATCATTATTTAGATCTGCTAATGTCGCTTGAGTTTTTAAAATGCAAACCGTAACGAAGATAATAGCCATCCAGATTCCAGTGTTTGTTCATTTAATTTTTAAAGTTATGACATGTATTATATGCTAAGACTGGTAATTTATTTATTAAAATAAGCCAAAAAATATATGTTAAGGCTGTACCTTTAACTCTGGTAATTCAATCACACAAGCACACTCCACAACATGCACCCCAACACGTTCTGCAATAAAGACATTAACAAACAGAACAATTAAGAATGCATTGAAATGCATATGTTAATCATTAAACACTATAAAACAAGTTTTCAAGTTAAATAGGTACTTGAAAAAAACCACTATATTGGTAGATCAAAAGGGTACTATTAGGTTCATTACCCAGAAGCGAGCTTTTGTCTCCACATTAATAATACATCATACATTCATTTTTTGTCTGAACATATAAATAAACAGAAAAAAGAAAGAAAACTGTGAATATAAGAAACAATAAACCCTCTTTCCTACAGTGCTTATCTTTAAGAAGATAGGCACATCATATGAAATCAATCAAGTGTGATTAGCTTGGGACTCGGGAGTCAGGATCCACTCATGGATAGCTTTAAGAAGGCAGAAAATATTTTTCACTCATAATGGGTTTTTCTTTGCCAGTCCATAAAACATAATATTGACAAGTTTACCTAGTAGCTTAATTGCAGCACCCAACGTCCCTCCGGTGGCGATAAGATCATCTATGATTAAGGCTCGATCTCCAGGTTGTACAGCCCCAACATGCATCTCCATTTTGTCTGTTCCATACTCCAATGAATACTCTTCCGAGATAACCTCCCCTGTAAAGATAATTGAAACATGATCATTCAAACAAATCAAAAGATCTTTCCCCCATCATAGAAACTTCTGGAGCATTCAATAACTAAAAAGAAGCATCGTGAAGTACCAAAATAACCAAACTTAGAACCAGAGAACCATACACATTACAGAGATTCAAAGACCGCAAACCATAATTATCTTCTAAGTATAAATTTCTGACAACATGATATGCAATTATTTCAAAAGAAAGGTACAAAACATATACCTGGCAATTTATTGGGTTTCCTCATGGGGACAAATTTTGCTCCAATAGCTAATGCAATGGGTGGTCCAAATATAAAGCCTCTTGCTTCGATGCCTGCGTTGTGTCATAAATACAGCATCAGACAAAAAAAAAGCAATTTATTTTGAACAAATAAAAGAAAATGAACCATCTAGATTTCTAGTGACAGGATTGCTGATTGGTATCTAATTTTGATTCCACCTTTTTCTTACGTTGGAATAAAACAAATACCCCACTTTGGCAATTTGTATGGAAGTATGAAACTCAATGAATTAATGACTTTTTGTTAGACTCGAGAGATCATTCTGGTAAACATCACCAACATTGTATTTAAAAGTTGAAAGACGGCAAGAGAAAGACACAATTATTGACTTGTGCCCATAGGCAAAGAAACAGTGCCACCACCTATCACAGATTGCAAACTAATATTCTAAAAAAAAAAGTGTCCATTCTTATAAAATCAAAAGTTAAAGATCATTACACCAAAACTCTTCTAGTAGTAGTAATCTCAAGGATTAGGATCATCTCATGTTAATAAAGAACATGACAATGTCATGTTACAAGAAAGAAAGGCGCAGAACATTATGGGTTATTATACCCATAATGTCTTATTCTCTTGTTATATGATATTGTCACATTCTTTGGCCATGAAAGGATCCAAATCCTTAAATGACTAGTCCACACTCACTATACCCAATTTTACAATGAAAGATCGTGACTATACAGATGCACGTAAGCCTTGCTTTCATAAGTATAACTCTCCGAGCGACAAAAATTCGGTTTTCCTTTGCACAGGGTTCAGGAATTTGGAGAAAGATACAGACAGAAAGAAAAAAGGTAAAAAGAAATTAGAAAGAGGTGCTAAAGACAAAATCATCGATAGTAGCGAAGTGTAGATTACCTGCGACAACAGAAATATTTTTATCTCTGTACCTCTCAACAAACAAGTCAATCGTGTCTTTGAAAGCCTTTGTATCAAGAAGCAGCGTGGTTATATCCTGAAACATAATTCCTGACACAAACAACGAACACAAGATGAAGCGGGTATAACAACTGTAACCGTATGACAGAAGGAAAACGAGGTTGTCGGATCGGAGAAGAAAAGAGTAGAGACCTGGCTTAGGAAAGTCGGGGATGACTCGGATTGCGGAGGAGATACTCTCTAAGCGCGAGTCTTGTTGATCTTGAGCATTCTTGGAAGCCATTGTTGTGATTTGTCTCGCTGCAGAACCAAAGAGGAATGAGTCGTTGAAGAATAGTTGCAATTGAAGGGAGAGAGATTGGAATTTACGCGAAGCAGTGGAGCGGAGGGGAAGAAAGCGGATAGCAGAGGATGGTATTGAAATTGGAATTGCTATGCGTGGAAGGAATCTAGGACCCAGACAGGGAAAAGATGGAAGAGTGGCAGTGACGGCTAACGACGAATTGGAGCAACACACAACTCGCATTCTCTTCGCTTCTCACATGATAAATCCATTACCTATTTATTTGTAACACCTGACTTCAAATTATTTTTTTTTTTTTTATTTCTTTATACAACCATCAATATCAATTTATATTATCTTATCTCATATATTATTTATTTTAGATTAAAATATTTTAATTTAATAAAATATATTAATTATAAAATTTTGAAGATATGTATTTTAATTAATCATAAGATATATAAATATTAATTAAAAATATAAAAATAAATATGTTAAATTTTA